TCCCCACTCTGTCTCTGGTGAATCCTCTCACCCTCCGCATCTCTGGCCTGTACCCCAGTTCTGTATGCATAAATAAATAAATCTTTAAAAAAAAAATAAGGCTTTCAAAATAATCTTTTATAAAGAACAGAAAACCAACTCAAGTAACTACAATAACCATGAGATTTGATTTATATTGTTAAAGAATATTATGTTATGTACTTATATAGCCCAGCAGATGTTCAGGCATCAACACATTTTAAAACCACTGCATGTTAAAAGGGACAAAGACAAAACCCGAGCATGAATTAGCATACATTTAACAGAACATCCCTGAAACATCATGATGAAATGCTTTCTAGTTCACCATCTTTTAATAATGTTTAAAAATAGTACTTTTGACAACTGGAGAATGTTTAAAATTAGTGCATTTTTCACTAACATATACAGCAATCCTTCCCTTCCCTTCCTGCCCCTGCCCCAACATCTTCTTAAAGGGCCATTAGGGGGCAGTATGAAGACACACTTCCTCTCACTATTGCAAGGGAAAATGTAAGTCTGAAAACACATTCCTTACAAAAAACCTTTAAGCAGCAAAGACAATAATCACATAATCAGGTCAGAGTATTGAGTCCAATGAAGACATCGAGTTTGTGACATGAGTTTGGATTTTCAGGGGACAGAATTACTTATTTTAATTAAATCTGCATAATGGATTCAGAGCAGATGTTAAATTTTATTTTCATCTGGAAGGCATTAGCTTTGGATCTTACGCTTCTTCCCTTATACTTAGGTTTGATGAACATTCACCCCCAACTCTGGCCACCCCCGCAGCAGAGCCAAGACAGCCTCTATTCTCTAGCACTGTCTAGAAATGGTGACAGAACAAAATGGTTCTAGAGTGTGATGTTAGAAACTTAAGCTAATTTTTAAAAAAGATTTATTTATGGATACAAGAGCTGGGGTACAGGCCAGAGGTGGGGATTTGGAGGCGGGTTGGTGAGAAGATTCATCAAAGACAGAGTGGGGAGCAGAACAGGCAGATGTACTGAAATACATTGCTGAGGGGAGCAGCGGGTGACATAGGAGAGGTCTGCCACGCCATGTGGGTCACCTCCCTGCTCCAGCTTGTGCTGCAGTGGCTGTGGATAGCTTCATAGTGTTGTGCTTTAATCCCCTTGCACCACCAGGGAGGTCCATGCTAATTTTTTAAAGACTACCTGAGTATAAGATTTTTTTTTTTAATTAGAAATCTCCAATCTGATTATTAGAGGGAAAGTAGGAGACACTATACGAAATGAGTAAAGGAAATCAATTTAGAGCGGTGGATAGAAACTAGACTTTTGATGGCAGTCATGATGTAGTTCACAAGGACTTTTAGTTGAAATATGCTGCTGTACAGCACATTTTGGATTTGGACTAAATTATACTGCCATTATTACTAGTTTTCAAGATTGCACATGGCAAATTTTGGAACTTCTAGGTTTAGTAAATTATGCATATATTTATGCAGTTATCTTCTTATCTAATCAAGAGAGGCTGAAAATGAAGTCACTTATTCTATTATTGAGATGTCACCAATTCTATTATAGAATTAACTTAAAGTTTTGACCTCTCCCTGAAATGGAATCTTAATTGAAACCATCAGGAATTACCTGGTGGAAGCTAGAGAGGTGATCTTCCTGAGACACTCCTGCCCGCCCCCCACCCCCACCCCCGGACAGTGACCTTGTCACAGCTCACTTTTTTCTATCATGTTGTTTTTGTTCCTAATTTTTACTTTGTACACTTCCTGGTGGCCCCTTTCTGTCTGCTACATTTGATGCTGTCAGATTCATGAATAATTGAAAAGCCAAAAAGATCTTTAAATTTTAACTAGTTTAATTTGGTTTTTAATCAATATCCTATCGGTTCTATTTCTAATAAATGTACCAAATACACAAAGGGCAAATAATTATTTTAGTTATGAAAGTTGACTTAAAAAATATGGTGGTGGCACAGGGGTGATTTGGTGATGGGAAACCCGTGGGGATTACAATTGAGATGAAAAAAAATGTGCAAAATGATGTAAAAATAAACTTTTTAATAAAAAAAAAAGAAAAAAAAAAAAAACAAAAACTCCTTGTTTTATAATCTGTTCTACTGAGGAAAGAACACAGACTCTGGAGTCCAACAGACCTGGGTTTAATGCCCAGCTCAGTTATTTTAATATGTGTGTCCAGAAAAATGTCATACCCTTACAAAACCTGTTTCCTCATCTGTCGAGTCTTCTAATTACATGTTTAAATGAATGCAATTCACATACCACAATACTTGGAATACAGAAAACATTTCTTTCAAACCTTTCTTCTTAGTCTTTACTGTTCATAATGTTTTAAATTGAATTTTTAAAATGTTTCTAGTTTTACCTAATGTTTCTGTCCACTTAAAATGGATTCCCCCTCCCCCACTGAATTTAGCAGATATTTACAGAGTTGTCTGTAACATTTCCAGTTGCAATTGTTGAGGAAAGTTCCACAGGGTTAGCCTGTTACCTGCATCAAATGGCCCCCAGGTCTATGTGATAACACTTTTCATAGGCTTGTGACAGAAAACATGAAGAGCCTTGAAAGCCAAGAGACTGAAATGAGCTCACCCTGGTCCCGGAACAACCCAAGCAAGTCAGACTGGGGCTGGGCTTACTTTGCGTTAGCAGGGTTGCAGGTGGTCAGGTTGGCCAGGGCAAGCGCGGCCGCTTCTCCCACCTCTTCACTGTCGCTTTTCAGCAACTGGATTAACTGTGGAATCCCTTTGGGAAGAATTAAATGTGACTTTACAAACAGCCGTATAAACAAGAACATGGCAACGTAAAAGTGTTCAAGGTAGGGTTTTCCACTTTGCTTACCCTGGGTATTGAAAACCTTCTTGCTGTCCGTATTCTCACACATTGCTGATATGGCCTGGGAAGCAGCAATTTTAGTTCCATCGTTTTCAGAACCCAATAGGGCTATAAGGCACTTCTCAACCTCTTGTTCGCGAAAAAATTTTCTATTTTCAGCTTTCATAAACCAAAAGGGAAAAATAGTAGAGTGTCGATGTATACCTACTTAGCAGAATTATACAAGTTGTAGAAATAAAATTATTGCCTGTCAGAATTATGTAAGTATACCTACTTCTGCAACCAAAATATGCTGGGAATTCAAACCAGTTTTTTGCTTAGTTATAAAGAAACAACTAAAAAAAATATTTAACCTTTAGAGCAAAGCAATTATGCAAAATAATGTATACTGCTTTTCTTTTCTTATTCCTACAATGATACCAAAACTATGACAAAGAAAATTCTGCAAGAAAGAGGCAAGATTCAGGTGTAGCAAGAACTTACTCATGTTTCCTGCATGGTGTGTTCACACATGCTATTTTCTCACAACAGATAACAACCTGTTTATACGATGTTTACTTTAAATGCAAAACCAAGTATTTGAAGAACTACTAAAAGTACTTTAGCAGGCTGCTCAAGAGGAGAAAGTAAAAACAAATATTAGAGTTCCATACTTCAGGAATTTATAATGTCATATCAAAGAAATCATAATCACCTTTTAAGTTATACTACATGCTGACAGAGCAAAAGTTAAAATAATTTTACATGCTAAATTACAATAAGCATAATCTAAACATATAGCAGCATAATATTCTTTATATGAAAATAAAATTATGAATCTAAGAACATTATCCTGATATTCATCCAAGTATAAAACACTAAATTCAGAACCAAAACTATTTTTTTGCCTCCTAAAATTTTTTCTCTTAGTTTGGTTTGATATTTTTAATAAATGACAACCTACACTAAAGCAAAGATCATATTAAACTAGAACAAAAAAATTAGTGTAGTGTTCTTAACTACATATAAATTACTAGTTTTTAAAAAGTGCACAACAAAAATGTTAAGACAAAATTCATTTGAAAAATGACAGACTAGTCTAAAATGAAGCTGCTTACAAATAATTTCTTATTAATTTGTTTACCCTTGAGAAAACTTTCTCTAGGTTTGATTTTTCTATTTATTAACCTTTATATGGTCAGTTACATCATTAAAATAGATATGTGGCTGATATATGCTCTTAGGATGTTGAGGTATAAGAATATTCTGCTAGAATTAAAATATCTGCAAAAAACTGATACTAATTTAGATAACAACATCTTCATGTGAAAACAATTCATCACTGATACATATTTTCAGTCAACTTGGTTTTTTCCCTACAAAATATTTTCATGAATTATTGCAAGAAGGTTTTCATTTCAAAATTAACATGATTTCTGTGTTAACAATGTTTTTCAAAAGTTGCTTTTTCAGAAGCAGTAGCATGTTCAGATGTCACCATATTTGCAAATGCTGTTGGCCTTTGTTCATCTGACACACAGATGTATGCCAAGCAATCTGGTCATGACTAACACTGGCTAAGTTACTCACACTTCTGCTCATTCGTCTTAAACCAATATGCACCATGTCCTGTAATCCTGTCATTTTAATCCCTGCTCCTTTCATTTAAAATTAGAATTCAGGCAGGGAGTTCCATGAAGATGCCAGGATTCATATTCAAATCACAAGTACGTGGCTCCTAAAATGTTTGGCAATATATGTCATCCTTATTAGAATTTGTGACCTAAAATCCTTAAAATTAGAGTTGACTTCCCTGATGATTCTAAAAACAACTTTCCTAAACAGAACACTCAACAGTGTGGAATCTATCAGGAAAACTGACCAAAATAATTAATTTGAATGGGCTGGCTTTGGAATATGTAGTAGCTAAATTCAAAAAACACTATATATAAAATTAGTGGGAAGATTTTAAAAAATGATTTAAATACTTTAGGCAATTAGTTTCTTAACCCTGCTGGGAGTGTTCTCAAAATCCAGCTGTGTTCACCAAATCTCAACAGAGCTGACTGCTGAGTAGTTATAATAGATTTGAAAGATGAATTAACATATTAACCAAGTACCTTCACTGATCTGCTACACCAAGAAATAAAGTATTTATGTTTTAATTATGCAAGTAATAAAGATGGCAAGGTAGCTGTTACAAAGAGAATAATGTCCTCTGAAAATAACATTTATCAGTATCACTATAATATAAAAATGTGTTTTTATAACAAAATAAATCTGCATGCCATGATGCTTCTCTGCACTCATTCTAGGAAGGAGTGATTGTGCCACCTTTGCTCCTGCCGAGATGTTAATGCCAGCCCATAAACCTCATGGCAACACGGTAATTAACGCCTTCCTTCTTTCAGTGTCAAAGATGAGTATTAACATTTATTCAACAATGAAGATTTTAGAAATTTGTACTGTGTGTGAGTTCCCACTTTGTTTCTGACATGCAATGACAATGCATTATCAAGACAACAGTTTCTCATGATAGAAGAGAAGTTGTTGTGAATAATGTTGATGGTTACACTGACCTTAACGGTATAAGGAGCAATATATCTGAAAAACCTACTTCTGAATGGATTTTCCTTGAAAAGTCATTTTAAAACTTCATTATAACTTACTTTCAATACAGAAACACTTTGTTAATCCAGTATGGGTTGCAAAGGCTATATTTTCCTATAATATACACACAGAATATATACAGATGAGTATGTATGCTTCAAATATAAATGATAAAAACCAGTCAAATCGGTCATCATTCATAAGAGTAGTTATGTAGAAGAGGGGAAATAAAATCATGTCTTTTATTAAATAAAATTAACTATACATAAACTAAAGCTATAATTTCATAGGCAGTGTCTGTGATGTAGCTACTCTCTCACATTTTACAAGTTTATGTCAACACAGCTTGCCATTGAAATAAAACTTGTATTATATATCTAGTATGTGCATATCTTTCATACTGCCACTGCTACACTCCAGCTGAAACTTGAAATTTCTTTGTAGACATCATTCCAAATGTGGATTTATTGAAACACCTCTCAGAGACTCAAACAGCACATATCATCTGTATAACTCTAAAATCAAGAGAAATAAGGGCTTAAAATTTAACTTAGTAATTGTTAAAATGGCAGGATTATAATTAAATCATATTGAATTTATTATAGCCTTGACAAAACAATCTCTATATTAACCCATTAGCAGCGAGAACTGGCCTTAATGTATATAGTACTATTCTCAAATGGTCATGTAAACGCAGATAAATACGCTACTGTTTAATCACATGAATCAAAATCAAGAACATGTATGCTTAGTTTGTATGAAATGAGACGTACAATTATATGCAGCTTTAGTGATTGCTTTTGCTGCATTCTTCTGAATATCAGGAATTGTAGAGTTTTCTGCGAATGTCAGGAGCTTCTTAAGACCCCCAGTCTGCTGAATGAGCACCATAGTATCCCTATCTTCAAGGCAATTGGCTATCACTAACAGTGCTTCTGTATGAAGGTCACTCAAGTCCTAATAATAAAAGAAAACACAATTGTAGAGAGTTGTACTAAAAGAAGTTTATATCCTCAAAATTTATCACAGGAGGGACTCTGGTCAGTTAGAATATGATGTAATCAATTTTGTTGTGACAGAAGCCCAAGGAAGCAGTTGGGTTTATTAAAGTAACATGTCCCATCTTTACTCACCTCCCCCATTACAAAACAGGTTTTATAGGTAGAAAATAATTACTGCAAACTTCCAGTGAGGATAGCCAAATGAAGTTGCTCATATAAGCTTCCTCTGATAACAATTTTAAAATCAGAAGAAAATATTGATTGAAAATGCAGAGAGTGGCTGAAAGAAAGTCTATTCCTCAAAATCTCTAACTGGCAGAGGAGGTATTGAAGAGTTTGTGGCTTTCTTGCCTGAGAAGTTTCCTAGTGCCCATACCAGTGGAAATCCAGCCTTCCCTTAAGAACTGGAAAGTTAAGGTAGAAATCCTGCAGGTAAAACACACACAGAGAATGCTCCACCATCATGATAACCACACAGCTTTGTTTCCAGACATTGCAGCTAAAAAAGTACAATAACAGGCCCAAGCTGCTCATGGAATTTACTGTGTTTGCCATGTTTATCACCATCCTAAAGCATCCTTGATAGATGGGCCTTCTTAAGACTCCCAGAAGCTGTGTGTGATCTCAAGTGTCTAATACACATAGATGTTGCTGTTTCTCCCATGGCCACCCAGTGCTGATGGGTACGGGAATCAAGGAGTGGAAAGAGGTGTGGTCCCACTCCTTATTACCACTAGGAATCCACAGCAAACCTTGTGCTTCCTGTCTCCACAACTTTAGGATGTGCTGGCCTCAAGGCCTTAGTTCCAAAGGGAGGAATGCTTTCATCAGCGGACAACAATTCCACTGGTCTACAAGTTAAGACAGCCACCAGCCACTTGGCATTCCTCGTACCTTTGAATTAACAAGCACAGAAGTATTACTTGTGTTGGCTGGGCTATTGATCCTAACTACCTATGGGAATTGGACTTACTATACCACAATGACATAAGGAAGGGTATGTCTATAGTCCTCAGGACATTCCTTAGGCTGTATCTCTGGATTACCCTGCCCTGTGATCAAGGTCCATGGGAAACTACAACAATCTGATCTAGACTACTAATGATCCAGACTCTTTAGGAAAAACAGTTTGGGTCATCACACCATGTCAAGAGCCAAGATAAGTTGAAATACTTGTTTAGGAGAAAAGGAAATACAGAATGGGTATAGGAAGAAAGTAATTGTAAATATCAACTACATTGTTGTGGCCAGTTAGAGAAAAAGGATTGTAAATGCCATGAGTAGTTCTTCCTAATTTTGTTATGAAATTTCATATATGGGTATGAACACTTTTATCCCACTCTCAACCATTTACTGAACATAAGATACAGATTTTACATCATAGTATTTAAGTTATGGGATATCAAGGTAAAGAGTAAATATCATCCAAGGACATTTCATCCTCTTATGGAAGAAGGATTCTTGTGTTTTGGGGTGTCCACAAGGCAGTAATGTCATGTCAGGTAAAACATAGGACTTTGCTAGTGTCTTTGTTTGGTGGTTACATGCCAATAAACTATATAACAATAAATAAATTCAATCATTATACTTAATATCATGCCTAAATCGAACACAATTATATTCCACAATTTATATTTCATAACAACTTTTAGGAGATACATTTCCTTACAGAGAGTTGAATGAATGACACAATACCTTATTTTCTAGGATCTTAATAAGCTGGTCCACTCCTTGATTGTCTCTTAGCAGTACTCGTGACTCCTTATCATTTGTAATAACACCTAGTGTTTTAAGAGCCAATAGCTGAATTACTGGATACTCTGAATTCAAGAGTTCTAATATAGGAGGGATGGCATTTAGCTCTGGAAGTGTAGCTCGACACTGAAAATCCTGCCATAAGAAACAAATGATCAGAAAGTAATTTTTTTTTAATTTAAAAAAATTTTTTTTTAAGATTTATTTATTTGTGCATACAGAACTGGGGTACAGGCCAGAGGCTCAGGGGCGGCGAGAGGCTTCACCATAGACAGAGTGGGGAGCAGAACAGACAGATCCACGAAGTACACTGCTGAGGGGAGCAGCAGGTGGGTCAGGAGAGGTCCGCCACACCATGTGGTCACCTCCGGGGCAGGCGGGAATCGAACTCATGTGGAAGCGGCCTTAGATTCTCAGTGCTGTGCTTTAACCTGCTGCGCCACCAGGGAGGGCCGATCAGAAAGTAATTTTTATAAAGCAAAATATCTCAAAAATGAAGAAATTCTATTTGCTAACAAGGCATTACAATTTCCCCATGGTTATTCCAGACAGTTCCAAAATAACTCATGAATATAAGCAAAACCTCAAATGACAATATTAAAGTATTCATTTTAACTGTGTAGACATTGTCAATTATTGTTTATTACACAGCTAACTCCTATTACTAGAAGAAGCATTATAATAAATCTATAACTAATATAATAATAATTAGCTTTGGATAAGATTAGATGATGGCATCAATTCCTTATTCTCCTCATCCAATGGCCTGTTTGTGAAATGCTCATAAGCACATGGTGCCCTGGGCAGCCCTGCGCAAACTGACATCAGGGTTTCTTCAACATCAGGGTTCGCTCTGACGCTGACCTTTGTTTAACACACATATAATATGAAGGGGTCTTTACAGTCTAGACAAGCTATTTTGTATCTTGTGTCTGTAATTCTGTGTGACTCTGGGGAAGAGGGGTTGGGTGGAGTGAGCAATGGAGTGAACCAGGCAAAAAGCCAGGAAAAGTCCCAAACTCTGACTGCTGAACATCTTAAATGGCAGCATGTAAAAGAACACTAGAGGGGGAAAGGGCCCGGCTTATAGCTCACCTTTCCTGTTTCCGCCCTTCCGTTCAGGTCTATAGTCAGCTTCCTTCAGACATAAAAATTGGAGGTTGCTGTTTGTCATGGGCTGACTTATGTGATTTGATAACATATGTAACATAACTAGAGCCATATTAAAATAGAGCCATAGAATCTACTGAGGAAAAAGCTCTTGTACCATTATCTTCAAACTGCAAGATGACCCTTGGACTGGCCCAACCCCCAACATTCCAACAATAAGGAGAATATCCGGTTTAAAAGGAGCGTTAAAGAAAACGTTTCCATTCTTTTACTGTGTGAGGTCCTCCACATATCCATTCACCTTGTGTCTCCTTCATGTGACCACTCATTCATCCATGACCTCATCCTCCATGACCTCTCTCTTCTTTCTCTCCCTATAAAAACTTCCTTGGGTCCTTCCTGTGGACATATTTCAGGTTTTTGCTTAAATCCATGTAACCCAAACTTCAATTCTTTCCCATTCCCAAATAAATGTGTTCAGCTTGCCCATTCTCCCTGTCATTCTGATTTAAGGTTAGTAGTTGTGTCCTCTGACATATATGCTGATGTTCTCATCTATCTCAATGTGACTATTTGGAAACAGGGTCACTGCCATAGTAATAAGTCAAGTTCTCAGTGGAGTAGGGTGGGGAACAATTAATGGTGTTCTTTGAAGATTGTTGTGTTTAAGAAGGTGAAAATGAGACAACAGGAGAGGTGGCAATGCTGCATCCAAGGAATGCCAAGGACATTCAGCGAACTCAGAAGCTCGGAAGACACAGGAAGGATGTACAGAGGAAGCATGGTCCTGCTGATGGACTTCTGACCTCCAGAACTATGAGGGTAAAATATCCAGTCCCCCCGCCTGTGGTATGCTGTTACAGCAATCCTGGGTAATTAATGCACTATTGCCTAGTATTTCTGCTGTTCGGAACAGTGGAGCTTAAGGCTTTACCTCAAACTTACCCTCTAAACTTGACTTTCCACTTGCTAGAGAAGGGGGGGGGAGCTATTTCTTTTTTTAGGGTCTCTTTTAGTAAGGAGTGAGAGTAAAATGCAGCCATGTGGTGAGGACCAATCAGAGTTGGAATGAAAGCTTGTGCTGCTGTTTGTCATGGAGCCCTCCTGCATCGTTTTCAGTATGATTTCCTACTTACGCTGCCTCTCATGAGGATTCTGTCACCTTTGCTTGAATATCTCTTCCTTGTTGTTTCTTCTGGAAGCTATTTTAAATGGTGTGTTTGTATTTTTAGTTATCATGAGCCTACCAAGTGTGCTTGGGAATTGTTCAAGAATTGAGCAACAAGCTGAGAAGCTGCCCTGAGCTGACTTCCTATGAGTGTAAGGGGGTGCACTCTGACTTGGGGGTAGGGATAAGAGGGGAGGTGACTGAGGACAGGATAGATGTGAGAGGGAAAGGTGGAAGGACTTTTTTTCCATGACAAACACACACACACATACACAAACAGCGAGGTAGCAATGTGATTTGTGAGCAATGGGTGCCATTAAGCATACTCATTTCACTAGGATTTCACCAATAAGTACACCTAATCCAACATTTTAGTCTAGTGAATAAGGCATGTATTTTAAGGTTGGCCATTGAACAATACAGGTTTTGAACTGCTAAGTTTCACTTAGAGAGGGATTTTCTTGTAAACAATCTATATACATAAACTTTGGGTATCAATGAATATACTATAATACTCTGTTCCTTGTGATTTTATTAATAGCATATTTCCTCTAGCTTGCTTTATTATTAAGTGTATGTCATACCATGCATATAAAAAACAAAGTACATGCTAATCAAATACTTAGATTATCAGTAGGGTTTCCAGTCAGCAACCAGCTACAAGTAGCTAAAATTTGGGGGGAATGAAAACTTGTACTTGGATTTTTGAATGGGGGAGGAGATGGCACCCCAACTCTCACACTGTTCAGGGTCAACTACCTCCCATGTGCTTGCATCATCTAGCTAGATCAATATGTAGTCATCTAGGTCAAACCATAAATATAAGATTTTTTGTTAAAAAATACATTTCTAAAAGGCCCTTTCATGGGAGACAATTATTTATAAAATGTGAAAAATGAGAAACATGCTAAATTTCCATACTTTTTTCTGAACATGTACTAAGTAATACTAAAAAGAAATGGAAATCGGTGAGTTTTAAAAAGCTTTTTCCTTTTTTATGCAAAAAATAAATTCTAGAATCAGCTCTTGCAAAAAATAAACAAACAGGCAATGCATTAAATAAATATGGCTAAACAAACAAGATGGTATCTACTTTCATTTATTTTACCTGCCTTTACTGGTCTCATCTCCAATACAGAGCTGTTTATATTTTATAATACTCTATTATAACTCCAAATCCTTAATAGCAGGAAATATTTCCTTCTGCAATAGTTCTATCAAAGTAACAATAAAGATTACATGTATAAAAAAATTCTCAGCATTTGATCTTACCTGGACCAAGTTGTAAATGCACTCAATAGAATTCTTCTTCACATCAGGGTCAGGGCTGCTCAGCAGTCTGACGAGGGGCTCTAATCCGCCGCACTCAAATATTTGCACTTTGCTGGTGTACTCCGCAGACATGTTTGCCAGGCAAAGACTAGCAAATTCGTGGATAATTACTTCTTCTGCATGTCAAAAACAGAGAGCATGAGTGTGCTAAGTCCTCATGCAACCACTACTCTAGAGCCCGCTTACACAACCAAAGTGCCACAAATTCTACCTTGGTTGGAGCGCATCTTGGCTTGAGAGATATTAATGACAACTCTTAATTGGTATTTGATAAACTGCTTTAAATAGGCAGTTTAATCAAATGTAAAAAGTCAACCAGTTCCAATTCTTAAATAGAGGTTAAGATGCAAAGTTACCTTCTGGGGCGAGCTGAGCAATGACAGAATTCAGGATATCCAACTCCCTTAACAATTTTTTCACATCATCTACAAAAAATGAAATAGAACATCAGTTTTCGTTAATAATAATGACTGGGTGATGAATGGCATTTATGAGAGAGGGATATTACCTAATTTTATAGGTCAGGGTAAGAACCACACAGGAAGTAAGTAGCTGGGTCAAATGAAGCCCGGGTCTATTTGGCTCCACCTGGCCCCCAGCCCATGCGCCCTGATCCCTGAACAGACACCCCGAGACAGAGAAAACACCAGGGCAGACCCAGACAGGCCTCCAGCGCCGAGCAGGGCAGCTGACCGACTGCCCACACGTGTTCACTGTGTAACAGTGACTCTTTTGTTGTCAGGGTGCAGTTTTAAATTTTGATTTTAATAAATATTGTACAGAATGCAAATAAGAATTATCTTCAGTCCTTTTTTTTTATTATAGCTGGTTTACATTTTATATGATTACCAGGACTACCAAAATGCTCAAAGATGAGTATGTTGATTTTTTTAAAGTTCACTTTTATATAATCTATATTGGCTTAGTTAAAGTTAGACAAGCACAATCCTACTTCTTTCCTGTTATTCCTTGCCCCCTTCTCCTGAGAAATAAGACATAGCTGTTCCTTCTGTTTCGCAGGCTTTTTTTCCCCTTGGTCAATTATCTTCATAGAGAAATCAAAATTAGCATTACCAGAATTTTGGAAGAGTTCACAGTCTCAACTGAAGCAGATGGTCTCTGGGTAAATTGTTCCTCATTAACTGCTGGGTAGACAGCACTTGGCTTTTATTGAACAACTTTTCCTGTGGGATCCAGGGATAGGTCTGTTCTTCAACCTGTCAAAACCCCTCTGCTGTGTACTTAAGTATCTTAAAGGGAGCTAGCAAGATTACAGCTAGCTAAATGTGGATTATACATTCAGTCCATGTCTATGCTCCTGAACAGATTTTATTAGAGTATTCAGATCTCCAAGTACATTCTCCATTTGGTGTCCAAAATCACCTTCCATAGACTTCAGGTTTCTGGGGGAGCACTGATCATGAGGCCAATTTATGCTCTGTACCTTTTTTGTCTACAGATCACCCCCCGCCACCGCCCCCAGAAAGAGGCCCCCTGCTGCACCTGAGTGTGATACCTGAACAGGTTAAATGTTTTTTTCCAAAGGATTCTATGCACCTAAAAATCACCTTCTGGATATGAATTCAGTTAGAGGTGAGTGATGTTCAACAAGAGATCTAGTAGCTTTAAAGGATTCACTAGCAATTCTTGTAAATTGATGCCACATTTGATCCATTTGCTATTCTGCATTCTTGATACCAGATCATTCAACAAATCCTTTCTTTAGGTAAATCAGCAAAAACAGTGAGTCAACTGCTATTTCCTTTCCTTTCAAGATCGCTATCCCTGTGTTTTGCAACAGAGAAACTCTCAGAAATGGCCTTCGGTAGGAGCTCTGGCTTGTGGTTGAGCCCCTGAACACGCTATAGCTGAACAGTGTAGCCCCTATACCTTTTGGTTGTTTTAATTGGATTTTTATTTTTTATTTATTTATTTTGCATAGAATGTGGTGTAGACCAGAGGTTTGGGGCATGAAAGGATTCACCAGAGACAGTGTGGGGAGCAGAAAAGGTGGATTTACTCTCAGGGGAGCAGTGGCCAAGGCAGGAGAGGTCTGCTGTGCCATATGTGAGTTAGTTCCCCAGCAGGCTGGGGATTGAACTCAAGCCATGGAGGTAATAATTCTGAGACTTAACCCCTAGGCCACCAGGGAGGCCCCTTAATTGGATTTGTGTTTACAATTTTTTTTCATTTCATAATATTAACCAATTAATTTATTCTCAGCTTATGTATATTTTACCTTAATGTTTTCCTAAAAAGACAAGGTCTTCAGATTGCCTTGTGATGTAAAGTCTGGGTTTAGAAGGCTACTTCTCTGTGTAAGACTCCTGATGAACTGTCTCTTTAGCTTATGTCATCATATGAGTCTCTAGTTAAATGACCTTACTGAGTAAAATATAAACTGGCAGATAAAAGAAGACAGCAGTTCCAATGTGGCAAAAATATTTAGCAAAGTAACTTAAGTGACGTCTCATGTGTGACTTGACACAGACAGATAATGGAATCACCACTGTAATTAATCAGGGACTGTCTATTTACATGGCTGGTCCTGCTGAAATTCTCTTAGACATAACAGCCTATACTAACTAATACTGTTACTCTATCATATTAATAACAAAAATTCTTTAAACAAGTAGTACATCTGATTGAAGAGTATGTATAAGGCTAAATTTATTATTTGCAAATGTAGTTTCCATTTTCAACAAAAGAAATGTATCAAAACTCTTTGGGCTTCCTTTACTACAAAATACATATGAGTAAGTAACTTGCATTTAAGTGTATACATTACTTTATCCTAACCTGAGGAAAAAACCTTTTTTAAGAAAAATCTTTTAATTTCAAGAGGCAGTGGTTGATGTACCAACTTGTAAACTGAAACATACTACCTCATCATTGTTGAGAGTTTTCACATGGCTGTATTTGTACATATTTTTATATTTAAAATTTTTCTCTTGACATATGAAGTCATATATTTGTTTATTATAATTCCTTGTAACATTTCTTTATCATTAAAAATCCTTAAATACAATGAATATAAATTACTTAGATATAAAAGAAGGGTAATGTATTATATATTGTATTATTATTTTTTAAAGTTGATACTTACTGTTAGAAGTCAGGATCCCAAATATCATATTAGCATTTCTTTTGACAATTTTGTCTTCATGGGTAAGCAGTTTAGTTAAAGGTTCCACAGCTCCAAGTTCAAGGAGAGTTGCTTTATTTTCCTCACCTGACATTACAGATGAATGAAAATCATACATGGGCACCAATCCCATCAAATTTCTTTGTGTCATTCCAATTTGTTACCTGCCTTTCACAGAGGAGTCTCTCCTCACCACACTATCTAGTACTAACTCCATATTCCAGTTGATCTTATCCCTCTTTACCCTACTATATTTTCTTCATCACTTTCTGACCTCCAAACTGTTTGCCTGTGCTGCTGAAGCTTCACTTTGCCTGAGGACAGATACCCAGTTTGTTCTGTGCTCTCTAGCCCCAGTGTCTAGCACAGTGCCTGCCACTTGGGTAGTTGTAGCATCAATTGCATAACTGAATAACTAATTTTAATAATTAATGAATGCACATAGGCTCCACTTTAATTTCAAGAGCATGTGATGAAGTTTGAGGATTCACTTTTCACCAGTGTGATTAGACACTGAGGTCATGCAAGATGTGCCTGTAGGCAGCCTGCAGGTGCATGCACAGAAGTGAAACACCAGGTAACTATGGATTCCTTTGCTGTGGCAAGAGGTCCTAGAAACAGAAGTTAGTTGGAGTCCAGTCTAACTGTAGAAGTAGTGGCTGTACCCTAATAATTCAGGTATCATTATAGTCTGGAATAATATGTAAATCCTGATTAATTTTAGTTTTACAATTTCAGAAAATACTTGTATAAAACATTTACAAAAAGTTCTGTATTTCACAGGAAATGCTTGTTTTTTTTTTAACTTCATGTGATAGAAAGAGATGATCAGATACATATGACAGGCAGCTAACATATGACTTTGCTATAAGATTGTGTGGTAATTATACTCCCTTTGTTGCATAATTTGATCTCTCTGAAATTTGACCCAGAACGCTATACAACTAACACATGGTCTTCCTTTTAGAAGCACTTTGTTTTGTTTTTTTAAAGATTTATTTATTTGTGCATACAGAACTGGGGTACAGGCCAGAGGCTCAGGAGCGGCAAGAGTCTTCACCAGGGACAGAGTGGGGAGCAGAACAGGCAGATTGATGAAGTACACTGCTGAGGGGAGCAGCAGGCGGATCAGGAGAGGTCTGCCACGCCATGTGGTCACTTCCTGGGCAGGTGGGAATCAAACTCATGCGGAAACGGCTTTAGATTCTCAATGCTGTGCATTAACCCGCTGCGCCACCAGGGAGGGCCCCATTTATAATTTTCAACGTTTATTTATTACAGCAGATTTAGCTTTACAGAAAAATTATAAAGATAGTACATAGAGTTCCTGCATACCCAATGCCCAGTTTCCCCACCATTAACATTGTATATTAGTAGGCACATTTGTTATAGTTGCTGTACCAACACCGATACATTATTTTGAAAGTCCAAAGTTTATTCAGATGTTTAATTTTTGTCTAATGTCTTTCAATGTTCCAGAATCTTATGCAGGTTCATCTGTGACTGAGCCATCATTCTTAGCATCTCAGCTAGAGTTTCTCTGACTTTCCTTATTTTTGATAAAGATAACAATGACTGTTTTGAGGATTACTGGTTAGGTATTTGTACAAGGTACTTGTATAAATTGGAACTTGCTGATTTTTTTTTGTAGCATAATTAGAGTAGGATTATATAGGTTTTGGAGAAAATAACAAAATATAGTTTGCATTTTACCATGTCAGGGGCAGCAGATATTATTACCATGACTGTCACTATCGATACTGACAGCAATCTCCGGGATGGGGCAATATATACAGGTTTTTCCACCATGAGCAAACTCTTTTTTCCCTGTTTCTATGTTATGGTCTTAGAAATAAGTCACTGTGCTCTGCCAACTTAAAGAACAGGAAGTTATATTCTGCCTCCTTGAAGGAGTACTGGCAAATCACTTGGAATTCTTTTGCATGAGAAACTTGTCTTTTCTCCCCATCTATTTATTTACACAAACATTTTTCATATTAGGTTATAATCTGATGCTTTATTATTTTGTTGCTCATATTGTTTTGAATATTGAGTCCTTCACCTCCTATGATCCAATTTTGTAAACTACAAGAAAACCTTCAAAATGACTATTATTCTACCCAGTGATTGATTTATTCCTTAAGGTGAAGTTAAGCACTTAGGGAGATAAAGTCCTGACAGACAGTGCATTACATGATAGCCTGCTTGTCAGAAAGAAATCTGATAGGAATTAAGATAAATATTAGGGAGAAAAACACCCATTTTGTGGTAAATATTTTAAGAAATTAATGAAATACACAAACTGAAAAATCCAAACCTTTTAAAGCAAATCTATAAATTGCTTCACAAGCTTTGGCCAAAATTTCTTCCTCTGGAGAAGTAAGCATTAACACCACAGTTGCTACATTTTTGCTTTCAATTATTAATGGATCAAACTGAAATGAAGAAAAAAATATATCAGGTTCATATTTGAGCTTTAAAATATCATAAAATGATTATGTTAAAGAAAACATAATATTAGCAAAATAATGTAGTCACTGCCCACTAAGTACATTGTAAGGTTTTTATTTTAAAACCTGACCTGGTTTTTATTTTAAAATGAGTAATCAGTATCACTGATATAGACAGTTGTTAACACTGGTGAATGTGGCATTCCTAGAGTTTGGCATGAAAAGTTAAGAATTTTGGAACCTGATACACCTAGTCTCAATTTAATCACATGGAATCAGACAAGTCCCTTACCCTTAAGCTGCTAGAATTTCAGTTGCCCTTTCTGTACAATAAGCTGAATATAACTATCTCAGAGCATTATAGGAAGCATTAAAGAACACACACATATATAAAACACTTAGCACAATGTCTGTAAAATAATGGTTGTTAAATAACTTACTTGACTGTAATTCTTAGTAATTATTTAAGAATCCCTGAGTACATGAATCAGATTTCCTAGCCTCAATAATCAGTGCCTACTTTCTAGTTACTATGTTCTTTCTGGAATAGCAGGAATGAAATATGTAAATAAACTGAAAAATAATAGCATGTGCCAAAATAAAAAATTAGCATACATCAAAATATAAAATTGCATAAATACTGGACTGGGGAAATAACAATATAGTATAAAGAAAATGTATAGGACTCTAAGAAGCCCGATATCCTGTTCTGAGAACTTGGGAATTCATGTGTGGTTGAAATTCGTAATAACAACTAGGGGAATACGGGTTATGTCAGTTACACATGAGGTTCAATGTCCTTAATCTGAAAAATTAGGATGCTGCATTTTTTGCTTTGATATCTTTCAGTATAAAGTCCCAAGATCCTATGAAATACAAAAATATATGTCAAAGACAACATGTGTTGTATGAGGAACAAGTACATGGAGAAATGTTCCTGGTGGAATGTTACATTTTTTAAAAATGAATAAAATGTGGTATGTTGACATAAGAAGGAAGGACATTCAAATGGGGAGGGGGGATAAAACTAAGAAGGTTTGATATGGAAATGAATGTTGTATTTCTGAGGGATGAGATAGGCACTTGATTACACAGAATATAGACAATAGAAAGGAAAAATAATATGGAAATAAAGCAAGGTAAGGTATCAGAAAATTACTCCTATCCTTTCTTCCCAATTATCTATTGTAAAACAATAAAATTCAGAGTGAAAGGGTATGGCTCTAGAAGTTTATGTCTAGCCATGTTACTACTTACATTTGAAAATGACATGCAGGTTGAGTTCACCAACTCAACAAATACATCAACCATGTATGTAAACAAATTACTTGGCAAATATTGGTGAGGATAAGCAATGTTAGTAGTTTGATATAGTCAAATACATAGTTAAATTTAATCTCACAAGTTCACTCATTCCTGAAGTAGGAAGAGCACAAAGTTTCTATGATCCCAAACTTGAGGTCCTGATTAGGAGTCATGACAGCCTCACATCAGGCTTTATATACATTTAGTACTGTAGCACAACTTTCAGGATTTTTGAAAACTTATTTGGATAATTAACGTTAATGAGGGTCTGGCAAGTGTAAACAAAGTATTTAAGAGAACAATCAAAACTATTTATTCATTGGCTAGGCTTATAAACATGCTATCCACATAGTGGAAAAAGCTAATGATTACTCCCTAATTTTGCTAATTCTGTAACGACAATGCTATAAAAGTGTGTTTATATAGTGTTAGATTTCTCTGAGTAATGTTACCACTACTCAGACTTTGGACTCCTGCCACCATGCACTGATGTATATTCTAGTTCATGCCAAACTGAACAATTTACTTTTACAACTAATTGTTAATGTGTGATTAGATTCAAGTAAGAAGCTTACCACATCCTTACGAGGAGGTTCTGCTTCCTTCTTTATCTTTTTACCCATTCTGGAAAGAGGAAGTCAGTGGTTAATGTGTCATAAGCACATTACATTTTTACTGTTTCACAGCTATATGTGTCCTCAGGAGGAGATTAATTTCTTCCCTTAAAGTTTACCTAAAAATACACAATAAGAAAATATGTAGAATTTGTTGCTTATGTACAAAGATATTACTTATAACCCTATTTTAAACTCTGTGATATTAAAGAAACTAATTGATAAATTTGCTGAACATCAGTCCTAGCTTCCAGTTGGAAAAGAGGAAATGTTATAACATAACTTTTATTCAAATAGTAGAAATAGTTTATAGGTCATTTGATAAGGTTTGGGAGACTACAATCTGAATTTTTCTTTCTTTTTTTTTTTAACAAAGGGTGGAATTGTTTTCTTCTTTTTTTTTGCACTGATCTATCTCAAACCCCTAGAGCAGCATCTGATAGATGCCAGGTATTCAATATTTATAAAAGTCATTATAACTATATTTCATGAGAGTAGTGATTTTTTGAATTTGGTATCCAAGATTTACAAACTTCTAATAATATTTGTGTCTTCCCCACATAACAAATACTCTTCTTACAGCTCAATGAAAATATAATTGGAATCTAAAGAGATACAGTCTCTGGAAATTGGAAGTATTCTTTGCAAGACCTTCTTCCACATGCCCAAAGGTCAAAGAATGAATATACACGGCCAGTTTACCAGGGGAGTAATTCCTTCTGAGTGCAGAGAACCTTCTGAGATGTCGCTGACTATATCAGAATAATCCCAGGAATCATATAAGTTTCCTCTAATGAGAGTTTGGGAATTGTGTTTGACATTAATGCAATCTTAGATGGTATATTCTAATCTCAAGAGAAATCATGGGAAGTAGAAAATTGTTGAAGAAAATCTGCAAAGTCAGAGTTAGTTTGGATCATCTATCAAAGAACTCCTTGAACAACAACTCCTAGCATGAGAGATGCATACCACAACTTATCACATACTTTAAAATACACATTTTCATAGACACAGGAACTTTCAAAAGACAGCTATTTTAGGTTCCCATCTTCAGTTAAATTTCAGTTGTTGAGGGACCAGGCAAGCTCACTCTGTGTTTCATCACTTCACACTAAAGTGAATATTAAAATGTACCCACATCCCTCATTAAATATGATTTTAACCATAAAAATTAAATTTTTTTCAGTAGAAATTACCCAGCACCTGGGAAATCCTGCAAAAAGAGAAAATTATTTTCAAATGTAATAAAATTGTAATAAAACTTATTAATTAAAATTATATTAATAAAAACATTGAATGTAAAACTTTTCCATTGTATTTTCATATTTTTGAAACTTTTTTTTCCAGTCTCAAACATTGCAAACAGATGCTTGAAAAGCACAGGCTCTAGGCCTGTGCCTGTACTGTTTCATCCAGACACACAGAAAACTATTTGAGACAAATGAAAATTCATTATTTGATTAGTATCTAGGGACCAAAGAGATTTTATAGTACTTTATAGCCAATTCTAAGATATAACAGCCCTTGCTTTACAAAGGAATTCTTAACACATAATATTCAAGAACCTGTTAAACTACACCTGGGTAGAACTGCTTTAAACCATCTGATTATTACTGAGAAACGTACTTCAGGAGTGTGTTTTAAAGTAACTGCACAATGACAACTACAGAGGCTGGAAGAGCCTAGTCCTAGAGGATTATAGTGATAGAGCTGGTCACAAGCACTGCTGTACAAAACTAGTTTGTATTTTTATGACCACATAAAATATAGTAATAGGGGAGAAAGTTTACAGCTGACATAGGTGAGAGGCAATGAGTTTCAACGATGACTCTATAGGTTTAAAAAAAAACTTTGTCCTTAAAATCAACATGATACAACTAAATGACCTCCCATTATTTTCTGCATATTTGTTTTCTCTTAAAGCAGCGGGATATAAACTTAAGTTTTTGAAGCAACTAACCCAGCTTGCCTTGACTATTTTACGTTTGCCTGTTGATTTTTATGTGCTAAAATATAAATAAAATTGATCTTCTAATCTGTGTCCTGTATCCCTCTATATGGGGAATACGTTATTGAAAATTTGGAAAACAGAGAAGGGTGCATGGAATAAAATAAGAATCAACCAGAATTCAGTTCAGGGAAATCAGCAATACTTTGAAATAATTCTTTGTGTTTTACATCCCTCCTGGATTTCTATCCTCCACACTCAACTTATCTTCCCTGAAACCATGTTATAAATTATGGACTAATTAATGAAGTACCAGTCTCCATTCACCTCTGCTCCAAACACCTCTAATGGATCAGTGTATCATGTCGTTTAAAATCCTCTATTTAGTCAGCTTCTGTTGTTGAATATGTTTCCAATTTTCTGGAATCATAACACACTTTTTATCATGAATTTATTGGTAACTTGTATTTCTTTGTGAATTTTCAGCTGCAAAATTAAAATACTTTTTAATGTTTTCTAATAGTAAGCACTATTTTGAGAAGACTTAAAGGAGAGGGCTGGAACAAGTGAGAACCTACTTCATGAATTACTTGGTCAATGTAACAGAATCTTTGATATTCAGATCCCCGCAGTTAAATGAGAGGTAGCTCATAAAAATTCAGTTGTACAAGATAAAAAAAAAGCCCTTCTTTTTAAATGAAACTAGGTATATACCACAGTGTTTCTGTAACATGAAGCATTCCCAGACAGGTCCATAAAAATTCATTGCTCTTTACATCTGGAAGGGATTTGTATATAATTTTGTTAGAATATGCTTTAAAAACTGCATAATTACTGGTTCTGAAACTACACTGTTTACATTTTCCATTAAAATGGTCTATCGGTTATATCAGACAAACTTCTATGGGCCTAACCAACCAAATGGACCCCCAGGACGTTTATGAAAACCCCTATCTTAACACGAAACTGACAGCACCTCACAGGAGGTCCCAGAGTTGCCCTAGAGGTTCCCACCGGCAGACCACAGGATTTCAGGAGCCTCTACCCTTACCTGTCAGCGACGAAGCCAAGCAACCGCTCCACCAAACTCAGTGGCACCTGCAACTGCCTGAGAGAGGCTCCCAGTCCACTGTTGTCCCTGGTTGCCCAGCAACACAAGTCTGCGCCTGCGCACAACACGGGGGTGCGAGCTTTCATGGAGCACAATTTGAGCTGCTCGAGAAGTGCTGGCTTAGTGGGCACTATGGAGAAACAGCGTATCTATCGTATTTTCAGTTCTCTGAGCCCTTTGCTTTGTGGCCGGTTAGACACTGGGAAGCCTCCTACTCCTAGTTGCAGGCCAGCCCAGGTGAACACTGTGAATCAGCTAATACTGCAGCTTCAGCGGAGGCCAGGCTGTGGAGTGGCACACTGTGATGCCACTGCACTCTCCCAAAGACTGGCTTCAGCAGCAGTCTCTGTGCAAATGACTTCCAAATCGCTGCTTCCTGCCCAGACTTCTCTAAGCTGCTACCTGCACTGCCAACTTCACATGCACTATGGCATCCAGTCTGTTTCACAGAATTTATCATTTCCCATCAAAGCCACCCCTTTTCTCCTTTCTGCCAAGCCCCCAACTCCAATCATTTGTCCCCTATTTACTCCCTCTCTTAAATCCTTAGTGACACTCCAGTCCAGGTCTTCACTTGTGACCTCTAACTGGTGATTCTGGTTTCTCTCTTTGGTTCTTTCAGCATAACACAGACAGAACCTTCCAGAAATTATTGCTCTAGTTACTTCTCTCCCTTCTTCAAACTTCAGCAGCTTCCTAAATAAGTCAAAACTTATTCACCTGGTATTCCAAGCTCTCCTTCCATCCCTTGCCAGGTTAGGGCAAGTTATGAGAACAGTGAGGTCCAACCTTAGCTTTCCAGACTCCACCCCCTAAGGAGAGGGGGTAGGGAGACAATATCTGGCCACTTAGAAGTCTTAAGTATGCAACATCCCCTCCTCTGTTCTTTCTCCTCCCCTCCCTTCTTTTTCACTCCTTTTGTAAATAAAGCTTTTGTTATTGTTGTTTCTTCCTTTATATCTGCTTTTTGGTCTAGGGTGAAGACTTACCGACCAAATCAACCCTGCCCCCCTGGGTTTGTTGTATTCCCTAAGTAGTCAATTCCTACCATATGCTTTCATTTCTACTTATTAACCCTAGTTCAAATGCCATCTCATAAAATACTCTTTGGTTGACTTCAGCAAAAACATCTCTCCTGAATGACCCTTACATTGAAGTAGTTGGCGTAAGGTCACTCCTCTAATCAATGGCAGAGTCAGAACTTAAACTGAAGTCAGCTTGACTCTTAAAACAATATTCTGAATCAGTGTATCATACCAGTCCATCCTGAAAATACAATGTTATAACAAAATACAAACCATTTATGAAATAATTAAAATTCATGTTTTGTTTTCACATACTTAAGTCTATACTACACATGTCTATTGGGGGGAGGGTCCATTCATTTTAGCATATACAGTGGGATGGCTGTTGGCAAATGTTTATAGTAATGAAGACATAGAACATTGCTATTATCCAATTTTATTCATGTCCTTTTGAATTTAAACCTCTCTCTATCCCACTCAACTTGGAACTTCTGATATCATTTTGCCTCTTCTTGAATTTCTTATTAATGGACCCACACAATCTGTTGCCTTTTTGTCTAGCTTTTTTAGCACAGTGATTTTGAGATTTGCTTATGAAAATGCATGTGTCAGTAGCTTACCTCTCTGTTGCTGAGCAGTACTGCATTGCATGGATCTATGACTATAACTCCATCCATTGGCTGATGGACATTTGGGTTATTTCCAGTTTTGGACTGTTATAAATAAAAATAAACATTTATACATGGGTTTTTGTGTGACATATGTTTCTCCTTCCTTTGGAAAATACCCAAGAATAAAATTTCTGGGTCATATGCCATGTGTATCTTTGATGTTATGAGAACTTGCCAAATTGCTTTTCAAAGGGCCTATGCCTTATTTACATTCCCACCAGCAATGACTGAGAGATCCATTTGCTTGATATGTTCTACAACACTTGATATTGTCAGTCCTTTTAATTTTA